CCCCCCCCCCCCAGGAGCCAGCGGGCCTGCAGGCTGGTGTGCGCTGGCGCTGGCTTCCTTTTCTTTAAGAAGTTACGCCAGACGCCTTGCCTCAGCCCAGGTGCCCGTTTCACTGCTTCCAGGAACTGGGAGCTGACTTGTCCGAATGCGTTTGTTATTCCTCAGCCCGAGCATACGAGGAGGGAACCTCAGCTGTGTGCTTCTGTGTGCAGAGGCGTCTCCCACGTGCCCCCCTCTGAGGCGGACTTAGTGGCAAACCGGGCCCAGGAGGAGAAGGGGGGTCGGCTAACTCTGCCCTTTGGGCTTTAGGTCCCGTTGAGCGACAGACAGACAGGGATCGGGATGCTGACTTTCTTTGTTGGCAGAAGCCACCTCGGAGGGCGTGTTCGCTTATAAAACATCCCAAGGGGCAGAGGAAGCCTGCGGCGGGCACGCTGTCTCCCCAGGGGAGGCACGTGCCGGGGACCCCGTGCTCCCAGTCACGGGAGGAGGAGGCTGCGGCCCAGGCAGGAATCCTAGGGTAGGAGGCTCCCCTGCCGTGGATTCTAATGCCCCTGGGTGGTGGCACGCACCCCCCACCCCCCACCCCTCCGTGGTGGAAGGGTTAGCCCCCTGCGTGGAGCCTGGCGTCCCAGCCTCTCCTGTGTCTCGTGTCACGTCGGTGCTTTCCCTGCCCTGAGGTCTGGAGCTGTGGGACGGGCTCAGGGTCACCCAGCTGGAGCGAGCCTCCGGCCAACCTGGTGGTCCCAGGCTGCCTCCCGCCCCAGGTGCACGGCGTTCTCCCCGTTACTTTGCTTTGGTTTTTGGTTTGTGTTTGTGGTTAGTCCTCCCCCGAGGGTGCTTCCCATTGATTTTTAGGGCGAGTGAGAGAGAGAGGGAGAGGCAGAGAGACATCAATGGGCTGCCTCCTGCACACACCCCTGACCAGGGTCTGGGCCAGGGAGGAGCCTGCAACCCAGGTATGTGCCCTTAACTGGAATCGAACCCGGGACCCTTTGATCCGCAGGCCAAAGCTCAGCCAAACTGGCTAGGGCTTGTTTTCGTTTTTTGAAACACCGCTATTAAGCTGTAGCTCACGTAACATACAACTTATTTAACGTGTTCAATGTTTTTGATATATTACATTATTCTTAAATTTCTGGTAAAATATATGGAACGTGCCCTGGCCGGCGTGGCTCAGTGACTAGAGCGTTGGCTCTCGCATCAGAGGGTGTCAGGTTCAATTCCAGGTCAAGGGCACACACCTGGGTTGCAGGTTTGATCTCTGTCCCTGATCGGGGCCTGTGCAGGAGGCAACCAATCAATGTGTTTCTCTCACATCAATGTTCCCC